AGCAGTAAAGACGGATCTCTTTTGGCAGGCCTTCCTGGAATAACCCTCAGCTGAGAGACGAATTTTTAATCTTGTTGCCTCTGACTCCTGTATTATTGTTATTGTATGTTTTTAACAAATGTTTAATTTTAATTAATGTGGCATTTTAATTTGACTGTGGTTTAATTCTATTGTAAGGGGATGGGAGGGTGGGATTATGGGGTGAGGGAATTATTTTTAATTTTGTTTGAATTGTTTAATGATCATGATCATGGCCATCATGTGTCCAAATAATGCATTATTTGGAAGGAGCTAAGGAGGAGAAAGATAAATCAGTTTGTGATATTCCTTAGGCTAGCAGTAAAAGACAAAGCACACACAGTGAAGATCCTTTTCCCGAAGCTGAAAGTCCTTTTCAATACAAAGATGTTTGTCTGCCAGCAAAAAGATAACAGCCAGGAGTACAACTGAGCCACCTTTGGAAACCTGTTCTATAGCCTAGGATCAGCCATTAAGAAGGCTCACCCATGGATGCATCCCCATTGCAGAAATAATAATGTTTGACACCACTTTAACTGCGATGGTTCAGTGCTATGGAATTCTTGGAACTGTACTTTATTGTAGCACTAGAGCTCTCTGACAGAGAAGGCTAAATGTCTCACAAAACTACAGTTCTCAGAATTCTATAACATTAAGCCATGGCAGTTAAAGTGGTGTCAAACTGGATTTCTACAGCATAGATGCAGCTTTGGACAGAGGTCCTGAGAAGCAGAACTCTTCTGAAGCGTTTTTCTTTTTCTTCTCTAAAATACAAATTGATGTTCTGACTATGACTATGAAACTCATTCCTTTTCTTTTGCTACTTTAATAAATGCACATGAGATTCACCTCCCATGTATGGCAGGCAAGCCCCAAGTGAGCAGATAGGGAGACCTTTAAGAAAAGACCAATATTTGCATATCTATTATAAATGTACTCTTGTGTTATACTTGTTTCATTAAAAATTTCTGTTTGGATAATATGTAAGGTCAATACTGCCAGTGTTCTGGAAAATTCATTTATTTTTAAATGAAAGCTAAGTACATCAAAGCTAGTTTCCGAAAGTGGTGTAAGATCCTTATTGAAATGAGTGGTGTTACTCTAGTATGCATCAGATGAGAATTTATGGTGGTATATTTATAGATTCTCAGACTATTATAAGAAGAAGGAAATAACATGACAATTACATCAGCTTAGTTTTTTCCCAGGTAAATCTATTATTGAAGAGCATTAGAAGAACCCTACTGGATTGAAGCAGAAGACCAGTTAATTCAGAATTCTATCCTAACAGCAGTCAACCAGACGCCTAAGGGAAGCACAATTCTTTCAAAGCACAATTATACTCTGCTTTGGATCCTGTGTGTATTTAAATTAAACAAACAAATAATAAAATAATACCCACAAGCAGGACTGTATCTGTTCATTTTTCACAGAATACAACAGCTAACACTGTTAGTGAATTACAATGGCAGAAGTCCAACGTATGCCACTATAACTCACTTTTCTGGTTGTTGCAAAGGTCTGAATCCTATATTGGCCACTCAGCAACCTAAATCCCCTGCAAACCCACCTCTTCTCTGCTGCAGCTACCCTCCACCCTACAAATGGCTGTTCCCTGGCTGATGGAGAGCAAAGGGACTGGCATCTACTGACAGATATCCCTGTGGATGATGTCATTGTAGTATACCCAGCTTCTTAGGATCAAAGTTCCTCAGATTTCCTGGCATGCTTGCTAGCTATAGATTTTGGTGCACTTGCAGTATTTTTCAATATGTTGCACTGAGAGCATCAAGGCCAGTCTCATGAGAGAGTCTGCTACATGGAAGAAGGAGGGGTAACCCTTGGAAGTGGGGATGTTTATGGTTGCTTTGATTGTTGAGCAAATGGGATGCAAGCCCACTCAAAATTGCTCTGTGCTCTTATTGTACCGTGTAACCAATAAGACTTCAGTCCTGACAACATAATCTGCTGTGAATATCTTTAGTTTCTGAAGAAAGTTTGTTTTTCTGTTTTACTACTGAAACTTGGATTTTTTGAACTGAAGTGATCATGTACATGACACAGCTTTAGGAAAATAGCTGGATGATTCTCTGCTAATCCTACAGCTCTTCATTGTCAGGAAACAGATATGCTGGGGAGGGGGGGGGTTAACAACAGTTAAAATGTGGTGTGTGTATGTGTGGTAGACAAGAGACTTATCACTATTCATATATGATATATATGTCCCGATCCATGATCTCAACCTCCCTTTATTACCCGAGATACTATATATCTGTCACGACTAATAGCCATGATTTAAAATGATTCCTTCCCAAACCACCATTTAATCTTGAAACATATTCAAGGGTAGCTGTGTTGGTCATGTAGCAAAATAAAATAACATCCCAAATCCACAAAACAGTGATACATTTATTTGGCCAACCAAAATACACAAAATATATGATGCAAGCATATTTATGCAAGCAGGCCCTTTCTCCTTCTGGCTATGTGGCACTGGAAACAAATCATTCCAAAATCCTGGAGATTTTGGAGATCCTTTGGAGATCTGAGATCCTTGATGTCTCCATCCTTTGTGAGTTCACAGCCCCCTCTGTTAGGCAGAGAACATTGAATCTCTCAAGAGAAGCATCCAGGCTTTTGGATTAGGAAAATTTAGGTGCTGTTTTTAGCTATTGGAATTCAAAAAAATCCTGCTTGTGTAGATATTGCATAGAATTCAAAATTTATCTCCTAGACCTCAGATTGCTTTGTTTCCAGTGTCACATAAGACACTGGGCTAGATAGGCCTTTTGTTTGGTCAAGGATTGATTTTTAAAAAAAATCCATGTTATGATCACAATGACAAACTAGTCATATTTTCTTTTGCATTGTATGCCATCAGTAAGTGGTCTTAAGATATTTAATTGTATGGATCCCATCTATAAAAAATCAGAAGGTTGGTGGTGGTCAGCTAATTCTAATTCTTCAAGAGTTAAAACTTTTGTCGTTTCTTTAGATGATCACTGTTAGCCACCTTATAAAATTAGCTATGAATGCAGATATGCTCCAATTTAGACATTTACTTTAGCAGTCCAGAATAAACAGTGAAAATTCTATGTTTACATTGGTGCTGTTATATTATAGCTGAAGAACTTTCCAGTATTGAAGAAGATAAAACATTAAGAACACATAAGCACATTTAATTGAGTCTATTGAACTAAGAGAGACTTGACATATGTCACCATTAGAAATTGGACTGATCCGTTCAGAGTATGAATGCTAACTTGGCCATATGCCTCAGGTCATTTGCAAGACAAAGTGTCACACAGATTGGCATAATTGAAGCAAAAAAGAGTGGCATGGAACATTCTTTCATAAAATGTGTTTAATGCTATTCTTGTTGCCATGTGAATGTCATCATCACCATCATGACCATTTTTAGTCATGCCCTTCTGTGAATTGGCTTCAGTGAAGTACATATCCAGTATACAACTGGTCTGTGAATTCATATTGACATCATTGATTGCCCCAAACCCCTGATGTATGTCAGGCTGTTTTGGGCCCAAGAGCCAGTGTGGTGTAGTGGTTTGAATGTTGGACTATGACTCTGGAGACCAGGGTTCATATGCCTGCATAACCATGGTGACCCATTGGGTGACCTTAAGCAAGCCATACTCTCTCAGCTTTAGAGAAAGACAAAGGCAAAACTGCCTCTGAGCAAATCTTGCCAAGAAAACCCTATGATTGGTTTTTCTTATTTGCCTGTCATAAGTTGGAAAGGCACAGAACAACAAATTCTATATTGAATGCATGACTGCAAGTGGTTGTTCCCACCTCTACATCAAGTCATGCCTCAAGCACACTGGGATTTGTTGTTCTGATTGATGTGTGGTGTGGGCAGGGTTTCCTCCACTCTCTAGATACATAGTGAGGTAAGGCAAAAAGAACACATTCCAAACTATTAAGCTTATCGCTTGGCACTTACAAGAACGGGAACGGAAAGGAACGGAACAGGGCAAATACGCATGTTACTAGACAGGAGAACTCAACTGATGCCATTGGGAGTCCCCAAGCTGTTCCCCAGCTGTTCCTGGCAGCTGACTTTTGAAGGACGGTTCGTCCTTCAAAGTCGGCTGCCAGGAACAGCTGGGGAACGACTTGGGGACTCCCGGCGGCATCGATGGTGCTCTCCTGTCCAGTAACATGCGTTTTTGCACTGTTCCATTCTTTTCCATTCCCGTTCCTTAAGTGGCATGCAATGAGCTTATACGTCATCACTGGTCATCATCACATCATCAGAATAGAAGGAACCAAGGTGGGGGAAGGAGGCCAGATGGGGAATTTAGCACTGCCTGTCTCAGAAGCTCCTGGGGGGTTCAAAAGAGCCTACATCTGACCTGGGTGCACAACAGTGTAGGTGTACCTGCAAAAGCCCCTCAAAGGACCAGGGCAAGAGGAGTGCCATCTGGACTCTCAGAACAAAATCTGGTCAGCACAGTAATGAGTCAGGCCAAATCCCAGTGCTTTTGCCCAGTCTGGAGGAGTCCTGATTTATTTATTTATAGTATTATTTTATTGCTTCTCAGCCCACTAGGGCTCCCACAGGAACACACTAGAGATAGCAACAGGCAGATACACAGTATGGCATCCTTTCAGGATTTATGATGTAATTGAACGTAGCTATGTCTGTCAAGTCCAGTGGGATGCCAAGTTCAGAAAATCAGGCTTCAGTATTTAAAACTCAGAAAACTTTTATTTAAGAAACTCTAGATCTAGTCCAGTGATGTTAATTGTCTGAACTGCCTAATTAAACTACATACAATTTCAAAGTTCAGGTGAGCTTAATTCTTATTCATAATTAATAAGCACACTTCTCTCTTTCCCATATCTACCCCTCATTTGTTCCTCATTCACAGGAACAGCCTTGAATAAGCTTGGCTCATGCTTGCTTCCCTTCCAACATTATTTCAGTACCAGTGCCTGAGATCTCCATGACATAAAAATACAATTTCTACTATATAACCCATGACACCTAATTCCCAACATTTTATGGCAAGCAAGTTGTTTATACAACTCCCCTGGCAATGTCTTTTTAGAAAACATTCTTTTAAAAACAACTTATTTTAATTTTATTTTTTAAATAAAATAAGTAGACACAAATACCAGATCCCAAAGGACAACACTGGTTTTAAGGACGAAAGTCCATATAAAACAAAGTCTCGAGAAAGCGGCTTCCTATGATGACAACAGCTGCCTTGAAATAAATTGTTCCCCAGCTGACCCATTCATACATCTCTGGCCTAGTCAAGTTAACAGCACACTTTGACTTATGGTGTGGCACTTGATGTTAATGCTTTGATGTGATTTAAGCAGAACGGCAGCCAAAAGACATGGCTCTTGTTTTGTGTGCAAACTGCAAAGCTATCCCACCCTCAAAGAAATGTAGGGGAAGGCATGCCAATGTGAAAGAGCATGGGCATAAAGTTTCAAGGATAGTTGATGTATAGGTAACATTTAAGTTGTACAATAACAATGCTGTCCTTTTCCTAAGTACCCTCTAAATAATTTGATTTCCCAAAGTTACCATGCCCCATTTAGATGCTGGGTAAAGTAGACGTGTTGGTTGAGAGATTCTGGAAGCTGTAGTCTAAAAGAGAATGTAGCAATGGGACAAATTTCTTATATTAAATATCTGCTTCTCATACTTCTCTTATTAAGGCACAGGTACCCCTTTAGGGAATGCAAGTGGGGAAGAAGAAGAGAGACCAAGTGCTCCTACAATTAAAGCTGTCTGTAGTACTCCTCTTTTGTTACAGTCATTTAGGGCCTTTGCAGATGGGCAGACAGGCAGCCGGGCAGCTGTGGGCCACCCTGGGAAGCGCAGGATTGGGGCCGAGGCTGCCCCATGCCTTGGCCCCAATCCACCCTTCTGCCAGCCCTGGAAGGAGTGCTAAAATAGCACTCCTTCCAGAGGGGGCAGAAGGAGTGCCAGAAGAGCTGTTGTGCAGCTCGTCCGCATCTTTTCTGGCTCAGCCCATGAAGAGGCTGGGCCGGGAAGATGTCATCGGAGCACTTGCTGTGTGAAATGGCAGGCGCTCCGATGATGTCCTTGGGAAGAGGTTGGGGCATCCGGCGTCTGGCTGCCCCTCACCTCCCCTGGCTCCAAGACAGAGCTTTGCGCCATCTGCAGAGCCACTTACTTAGGTGAGCACAAAACTGTCTGTGGATTGGCAACATAATCTATGACTGGAATTAGGTTAAGTATAATAAATCATAGGAGTTTATCACATGGGATGGATTCCATGTAGAAACTGGATTTAAAGTCATAACAACCTGCAAAAGCGGGTGGTTTTTCGCATGACATTGGCATCAAGGCGAAATAACATCATAACATTATTATTATTATTATTAACATGACATCAATCAGAACAGCCAAAACATTTTCCTTTTTACTTTCAGGAACTTCCAAAAGTAAAAAAGAGTCGGAATTTCCATTTGGGTTAATGTCGCATTATTTCTCCTTTCCACAAATACATTTGAAAAGCAACCTGTTTTTGTGGGGTTCCCCCCCAGATTTTAAAATCTCATTTCTGCATGGGATTTAAGCAATTTGCCTCCATGTGATAAACTCCATAGAGAGTTCCTCTGAGACAGGAGGAAACGAGCAGGATGTTCACCAAATGGCTTGCACTGAAACCTTTCATTGCTATACTTGAAGAGCCTGACTTGCTTGTATGTATTTTGATCTGAGGCTAGGTGAACTAATCCTGACTTCTGTGACACAAATACCACAAAATGAGGGTTAGTGTTAGAACTTATTATAGTTTGTAACCTGTAGCCCATTTGTAGATTATAGCCTGGCTTTAACAACAAACTCTGAGCCATAAAATGAAGATGTGTGCTGAAACCAAAAGATCTGAAACTTTATGGTTTATCTATTATAGGATCTCAGAAATACTTCTTTTACAGATAATGATTTTTACAGTAACATCCAAAATCCACAAAACAATGAAACCTTTATTGGGCCAACCAAAATGCACAAAATGTCAAAAGCTCCACTGGCTTTTTCATCTGGCAAAGGTGTTAAAAATCATGCAGGACTTTTTTTTTTATGATGATGATGTTAGTCACAAACCTCCACTTTGTCAAGCTGTTGTTGGCATTGTTCTGAGTATGGAGGAATATCTATGTAGGCAAGTCACTCCTCCCTTTGTCCATGTGGTAATGGAAGACAAAGTATTTTAAAGTCCAGGAGATAAAATTTAAATTCCTTTAACAACACAAAAAGCGACTTCCTTTGGGACCCAGGAGTCCTTTGTGAGGCTACAAACCACTTTGTTAGGCAAAGAACATAAGTTTAAGGATTTTTGTGAGGTGAAAAAAAATCATGATAACCAAATTGCAATGGATTGACCATTGGTTTCAGAAAAACACAGAATACATTTCTGGGCAGATTCTAGCCTGTGCCTTCAAGTTGCATGTTAACTTACAGAAACTCCATGAATTTTATAGGTTTTTGATAGGATTTTCTTAGACAAGGAATACTAGTAGATGCATCTAATTTTATCATCCAGTTAAATCTGATCTGAATATTTAATGACAAAGACAATATGTCTAAGGATCTGAAATGGAATTTTTAGTTATGACCCCCCCCCCCAATATTGTCTGTTTTAATACTAGTTAAATAGTACATTGAAAAATTCAGCCTCCAACTAAGTATTTTCAATAGAAAGACATAATAATGGAAAGCTAATTCTAAAGATATATATATATATATATATATATATATATATATATATATATATATATATATATATATATGTATCCATGAGCAATGACCTAGGAAGGTCAAGCTGTGATCCTAATAGGTGAAAGGATGTGAGTTTGAAGAACAGACTTGAATACTAATGAGGTGAATGAATTGAATTGCCTCTGTTAGTTGTTGTGTTGATCTCTTTTAAAGGTAATGGGCGAGTTTAATTTTCCCTGAGCCATGATGTGTCTTTAAATGTGTAATTTCTTTTTTCGCCTGGGCTAGGAAGTCAATGCTTTCTGTGATTAATATGGAAATGCAGCAGACGTGTATGAAGTTCTCAGTGCATTCAGAAGTAAGCTTTGCTGCAGGCAAGAAATGTATATAACAAACGGGCATCAGAAATGTACAAATGAATGAAATTAGTTATCAGTCTAGACCAGAGAAATAGGAATAGATGTAGGAGGAGGTGCACATATTAAAAGATGGTCCTGTAAACAACCTGCAAGACAACAATGTAAATCTGGCATCTATGAAGAAAATATGTTAAATTTCTTCTCAGTGTGATACAAATTGTTCATAGCAGCATATGAAAGGGCTATCCTCCTTTTATTCTAAATCTTGACCAACAATCATTGACCAAAGATCAGAAGGGTTGTCGTTTCCCTAACCTATGTCCAACATTTTCACTCAGGAGTGGGCAAAATGCAGCCTTCTGTGCTTTGTGTGTCCTCAACTTTTTAAATGACCCCCCAAACATCCTGAAAACCATGGATCCCCTTTTTTAAAAGGGTTAAAATTATTTGGATGGCACCCAGACCTTTATAAAAGGTGATTGTGAGACTTTATTTTTTCCTCACACTATCCCCCCAGTGGGGAAAAAAGAA